CGCATCTCGAGCACTTCGCTCCGCGACCTGTGGCTCTGCCACATGCTGTTGATCAGCCATCTGTGGATTTACCACTTGCTGTCGTTCAGCCTCCCGTGGCTCTACCACCTGCTGCCCTGCAGCTGTCCGTGGCCCAGCCACCGTTGGTGCCAACGCCTCCGCGCTCACCTGAGCAGGGTCTTGGTATGGCTTAAGCAAGCCGACATAGAAGACCGGATGCGTGCGCATCTTCTTCGGAAGGTTGAGCGTATACGCTAGGCCCTTCCTGGCCACGACCTTGAGCGGTCCTATGAACCGAGGTCTTAACTTCGTCTTGAAGACTGCAGACACTGTATGAGTAGGTAGGTTTTTAGCGTTTAATAAAACTTGGTCACCGACCTCAAACCTCTCAACATTGCTTCTGCTCTTGGCATCTGCATGTTTCTTCTGCGTGTCTTGGCTTTCCGCCATAGCGTCGCGTACTTGACGCATTACGCTCAGTCTCAAAGAGACAAAGTCATCGACTTGCTTGCGAACCGCAACAGGGCTGACATCAGCTAGCCGCTCGGCTATCCCTCCCCCACCAAGCCCTGAGCCACTGCGTGGCGGCGTCAGTGGGACGCGAGGGTTAACCAAGCCGTTCAAATAGAACGGAGTGTAGCCTGTCGAGGCGTGCACTGCATTATTTAATGCGAACTCAGCGAGTGGGAGCATCTGGCTCCAGCGTTTTGGCGCCTCAGCGCATACGCTTCAGAGGGTATCCTCCACAACGCGATTCACGCGTTCGGTTTGACCATCGGTCTGCGGATGGTCCGCCGTGAACATGTCCAAACGAGTGCCGAGCACTCTGAAGAGGGACGTCCAGAACTTCGCGGTGAAGCGCGGATCTCGATCCGAGACAATTGCCTCAGGCAAGCCATGTTGGCAAAATACTCGGTCTAAAAACAGCAAAGCTGTACCTTCACCATCAATGGTGTCCGGCACTGCCGCTAAATGAGCCATCTTGCTCAATCGGTCTACAAAGACCACTATACCTGTGTTTCCCGCCTTATCCTTGGGAAGGCCAAACACAAAGTCCATACTCATGGACTGCCAGCATCCCTAGGGGACAGGCAAACTCGCCAATGGCGCTGCCGTGCTCGGCGCGGACTTTGTCCGTTGACACGTCTCACACGTGCGTACATAGGTGCCGACCCACTTATACATCTTTGGCCACCAGTACATCGAGCTCACCGAGCCATAGGTCTTCTCCCGACCTAAGTGCCCGCCCACGGGCGTATCATGAACCTCATAGAGGATTCGATACTTTAGCTCCAAGAGCGCGTTCTCGTAGCGGGAGAACGATTCCAGCCTGGCAGTGACCGCCTCTGGACCTTGCGATGCAAGATGAGCCACGCCCTCCGGGCCAAGCAAGGACATAAGCTTAGTTAGCGCGTCCTGCTGCGCCGGGGGCAAATTCGCGAACACGGGGTGTTCCATCCTCGCAGAGGAAATAGTCAACCGACTCAGGAGCGGGATTGACTACGAGTGCTACCAAGTGCAGCGGGGCTGCCGTAGCTTTAGCGTCAGAGGAAGACGTTCGACTCAAAGAGTCACTAATACTAAGTTCCTTATCCAAAGGACACTTACAGCCCAAGACCAGGGCTCAAAGTTAACACCTTAACTTTTATGCTTCAAAACCAGAAGTGTTTTATTTACTATTATTGCGGCCAAGCCGCCTAGGGGTAAATGTATCTCTTTAACTATCTAGCATAGTTAAACCTAATCAAATGCATAACGTGTGGCTTTCAGCCAACGTACTGAGAGACCTTGTTAACTCTCCAACTTATGTACTGTGAGTTTGTTAACTCGCCGGGTATTTCGTACCCTTGTGTGCTCCACACCATGTAACCCCGTTACAGATCTGAATATTGTAATATGTTTGCACAGCGACGCAAATGAAGAGGGTTGGGGCATAATACTTCCGGGGGTAACAAAGTGGAACGCAAATTTGCCTTTTTTTTTAGTCAAACCACACAGTCCTGAGCGGGCGTTTTCATGGTGCATACGAGAACTGGAACGTGATCGAAATAGAGATTTATCCCATATTTGAGCATTTTTTTAAGCTGGATTACCTGTTGATACCTGACAAAGGCCTTAAAATGCTTACAAACCACATCAATCTTGTAATATCTTCGCACCAGGCGCTGAAATTAAATATCATATAAGAGGGAAGCTCCTTTGATGGGATTGGTAGCTCAGTGAGATCAAGTACGATATCGATCACATAGCAGACGAAGACAATGTACGTGTCGATATGTTTTTAGATGGACAATACCGACAGCGGCTTGTATGACGTCTATGTAGGGCTAGAAGACGGAAAATATGCCTCGTCTCCAACCTTTAGCCAATATTGAGTGGCCAACCCCGAATGATATTGAAGCAGCGTAGCGGGTAGAGTGGCGCCAACGTTGCTCAACCTAAATGACCGTGACTTGTAAGCACATTTGTTTGGCCGCCCTGTATTCCTGACGACTTGTACAGCGGCTTATGGTAGGAGACCACTGGGGCCGTCAAGGACACCGCGATGGGTCGTTCTGTAACCACTTACCTATTATTATGTACATGCGCTCCTATGTTGTTTGCTTCTAATAAAGCTGCTCCAGCAAGCTACGCACCCGCTGTGCTGTCACGCACCCCCGTCGGATGGGTTTTGCCTTCTGGCTATTTTCTCCGTTACCGATTAGATACGAAAAAATATGGACTATTCCCAAGCAAAAAATGTTTTGAATTCCTTTCTTACCGACGTCTTTAAATACGCAATACAAAATTGATTTGGTGTATTATACGACGTAGAGCACGCGACAATAGGAAATGGATGACACCATTATTTTATACAAGTCATTAAAAATAAATAAGGTCCTAAAGGTCAAACAAGAAAAGTTAGAATCAGGCCAATGTAGTGTGCGGGGGAGCTGAGATACGCGAATGCAGAGGGAATGGCCACTGATGCCAGTCATTCCAGAATTTTCGGATGGCCCGCATCCGCTCCAGCCCCCGAGGCAAAACCGCTGATGTCGCTGTAATGGTCGTGATATCGACTTCAGGCCTATATGGAGGTAATTTCGTGGAGCAGTAAGGACAGCCAAGCGTCCTCATAGTATCCAGCACGAGTAGAGATACGTTAGACCAGACGGCGCGAAGACGTTTGTAGGTGATGATGCAGTAGTACAGTTTGATATTGAGCTGGGTTGCTATAGGACATCGAGGACAATCAGATCGCAAACGAAGATGGCAAGATTGAAACAGCTGAGGACGTCTCGACCGAAGGTCCCCAAGAAGATGCTTATGATGATGGGTCTGACGACGTACATCCGGCTCAATTCGACACGAGCGCTCAGCTCCCACAACAAACCTTGGACCAGCCGTTTGGATCATCCAGCGGCTCGAAGGTTCTTTTGCAGGCGATGGTGGGCCGGGCGTTTGAACTGTCCCGAAGCAGCTTACCGTCGACTGAGTTACATCGGGAATCAGCCATCCGCTTTCAACTACTGTCCGAAGCGTCCAGGGCCAAATGTGATGCTTCCCTAGAGGCTACGCGAGCTGGCTAACGGACCAGGTTTGGCGGCCGCGAAACCGCGTCAAGAACGGCGTCCATTTTGTGGCGGACGACAAGGATTTGGACGCGTACAAGAGCTTTAGCTCCGGGGACAGCGACGTAGACGACTTTGACACTGGAAGCGATGGTGTTGAGCGGCCGGCAGCAGCCGAAGGCGACGCGGATTTAGATTCTGACGACGACGCGGTGGAGATGGACGAAGCCTTTGCGATATCGCTTAAATTTGTCGCCGAAACGCTGAGAAGAGCACAATCCAGCGGCGAGCGCGTCCTTTACGTGAAATGCAGTGACCTTCTGCAACGTCGTTGTTTATGGAAAACGTTTCCGCGTATCCTGGGATCAACATGGAAGATGCCCAGTCGACGCAAGAGCTGCGCAGCATTTGCCACTCGCCGCCACTTACCTTTTTCGACTTTATGCTCAAGTCACTATGGGCTATGATCGGTATGAAAACAAATAAGTACCGTCTACAAAAAGTAGATCGGCGAGTACAGCGCATAATTTCTAGATTTGTCGACCGCCCACGCGAAACTCGTGAAATCGTTGGCCAGATTCACCGCCGCTTGAGCGAGTCTTCGGCCTACCAGACACACGCGATACCGCGTGTGATTGGGCTTCTTGTTGCCCGAGTGATGTACCCACGGATGCGGCGCTTTTCGGCTCACTGGGCGATACCACTAGATGGCGCCGTTCCTGCTGTGACGTTTGGCCGATTCATGGGCCGTATTGGTGAACCGATACTTAGTGTAACCTTCACTTTGTGGTCAACGAAACTCAGCGCACGCGCGACAAGCACTGGAAATTGCGCCCCATTGTCAACGAAACTCAGCGCACGCGCGACAAGCACTGGAAATTGCGCCCCATTGTCGATAAAGTACAGCAGTGATTTTGGGATGACAGGCACCTACTTGCAGTTTTTTCTTTGGATGGAGGCGTCCTGCCATCTATCCCAAAGCGGAATTATACCCGTATGTTTATGTAAGACGATACGGATCAAAAATGTTCATGTTTGTAACTCCAGGATAGCATTGTGTCACAGGTAATGTGTATGTCGTAAGTTTCTACTTTTAAAGCAATATCTAGCTTCCTTTGCCGTAACTTCCTAGATTCGAGACGTACGATGTAAACGTAATGCTGAAGCAATTTGTGGTAGCTCATTCGACAGCTAGACCGGTGCTGCTGCTGTCGTGTGTAACCTGAAGGCAATTTTGGAGGAGAGCACACTCCATTAATGACATCTTGTCGTCTTGACAGATTTTATCCTCCAATTTTACTTACTGTGAAGCTGCTAGGAATGGGGGGTCTATGTGATTGGCGCCATTATGCTGGACCGGATTGGATACGTCCGAGAGCCCGGAAGACGCGACCGGCAGCAATCTCGCGCGGCAGTTTTCCATTTACCTGTTCTGTTGATGTGCCACAGATGGTTGCCTTTCCCTGGTGGGACATCGAGCCGGTGCTTTATTTGTGCAGCGTTTCGGCCATTACAGCTTCCACTTTCAATTGGAACGTCAAGCAGATTGTCTCAATCACGGCCATTACAGCTTCTACTATCAATTGGAACGTCAAGCAGATCGGCTCAATCACGGCGACATGCCCAGGTGTGGTCAACGACTATCAACATTGGATTGGCGTTCGCGCTCCAAACCTCAACCTGGTTTACCAAGTACTATAAAAGCTTGCTCTTGGTGTTCGTCGACTTAGCGCTGGTGAATTTCGCCAAGGCGCCAAAAACGTCTCCAGCGATAGCCTCCCCACAGGCACCCACCACAACGCAGTCCATGCCGGACCTGCGCTTTGTGCATACGATGAAGTGAGGCGGTTCACATCTTCGCCGGAGACGAGCTGCTAGGCTCGAGCGATGAAATATAATTCTCCGCTGAAGACGATGAAGACACAGACGTGGGAGCTGATAGCGATGCCCTAGATGATTATAAAGTGAGTGACGCCACAAGCGATGAAAAAGACTCCGTCGATTTGTCTGTTGGGACACCGTTCGATAGCATGTCCAAGGAAGAGTTGAGCTCGCACGCGACGTGGGACTGGGGTACATATTTCAAAGCTCGAAGTACGCTCTAACATACACCATTCATGACAAAAATATATGCTGTCCTCTACTGTACACTACATTAAATGTAGTGTCCATTATATCTCTAATCGTTTATCCTGTGTGTGGCACTGTGTAATCTAAGCCAGATCAAGTTCTAAGAGTCCAACTAAAGGAGCTTAAAAGTACTGTTGCTCCAGCCAAACTTGCGCAAGCACTCAGCTCGTCGCTCGAAGGTTTCTGTTTCTGTTTCTACCGGATAGATATTGCCGTGGAGTCGTATCAAGTTCAGCATCGATCTCAATGTGCGGATAAACGGATGGAGCAGCAGCGAATAATCGTGCAACGGCGGCCTGACTACAAGATGAAGACGACCCGGCAAGTGTAGCATTAGCTGGCCGCATTCAAGAGGACCAAGCCCAACAGACTAGTCAGTTTCATTGGTATCCTGTGTGCGAGGGGGCTTTGCTTACCTCGAGAGCGCTTGGCAAATCACTGGTCGGTGGAGGCAACAGGTGCCGTTCCAAAAGGGATGTTTGGTCGCTACATGGCGCGGAAGCGGTTCGAGAAGATCATTCGTTTTTCCATTTCAGCGACAACAACCACCTGGATACTGATCACATCAAAACGTGGAAGATCATCTTTGTCGCGGACACTATCAACAAAGGGTTTCGGACGGGAATGCCTGTTGGCCAAGTTAATTGCGTTTGATGAGGGTATGATACTCATGCGTAGCCGATGCAACCCGATGAGACAGTACCTGAGAGGTAAACCCCAGTCATGGGGAAATAATTGCTTCATGTCATGTGATGCTGTAAGCGGCTACTGTTGAGGCATTGTTGTGTGGAGTATTATACATAATAATTTAGAACTATTTCTTGATCTAATCCTGTATAGGGCTAAAATATAGCAAGGAAACTGAACAGTGACAAGAAAAACCCCAACCAAGGTCCGGAAGCCGTTGTTCGGAAAATTGATCTGGTGCTGGATGGGTTTCCCAGCGGCGACTGATTAACACCGATCGGTTTGCTCCAACCTCCGTTTGTCGTCGATTCTACTACAGCGCGATCACACCATGTGGGAACAATTAAAATAGAGCGACGGGGTTGCTGCAAGGCGATTCCGTACAAACAAACGAATAGGCCCAAGTTAAAGTCCCGGGGTCTTTACCGGGTAGCTGTATCGAAAGTGGAGTCAAGCGTGGTTGCAGTATCTTGGATGGACATCCGACCACTACACGTCACCCCAACCGGCTGCAGCATCACAAGAACTACCCTACCGCGTCAGCAAGGTGCTGATATTATTATAGTTCCTGCACATCAGCTTGAGACGGATTATTAAAGCGGAATGGGTGGTGCGGACACACACAACCGGTTGCGAATGCGACGATATTCTTTTCAGTTTTTGTCCTCCTGTCTTCGACACCATTAGTTGCTAACATATTTTCGTTTTATGATGTATTGTACAGGGGCAATGAAAAAGAAAAAAAAAAGATGGTAACTATATTCTTGGGCCTTGTAGATATGCCACTTGTGAGCGCCTACATCATCTATCGCCACGAGCAAAGCCGAAAGACCCCTGGGAAAGCTCCCCCCGCACATACTGCGCTCCTGAGATCGATGCAGGCAGCTTTACTTAGGGTGGGGGTAGCTGATTTTGAGGGAGACTTGACTGTGTAAGCAATAGCCGACCGGCCCGTATCAAGTTACTAGGCTTTTCGCAATGCATTTCCAGCCACGTACACAATAGAACAAGTGGAATCGCGTAGGTGCTACAAGACAAAAAAAACTATAAAGAGGGGCCGAATTGTCGTCAGTAGGCGTGCAAGATTTGCTCAGTACTGCGCGTTTGTCGAGCTGCATGGGAAACTACTTAATATTGCGTCGAATACTCAAAAGCCGAAGACGAGAGATCCTGCGCGGATTCCAACACAAGAGATGAAGGCGGCAGCAGCAGTGACGAGTCCGAGACGGAAAGTCGCAAGAAAATCTACCTGTGCCAAAAAGTCCGACGGATCAAAGCATTCATCTACTTGCAGTCACATCTGGCACTACTTCAGGAGGTGGAACATACACATCTCCCGAAGCCAAGACTATTCGCCTTCATGCGTTAGCCAGTACTAGGAATGCTGCCCACAGGGCAAAGTACAGGAAAGCGACCGAGCTGGCAAGTTAGGGGTTAGGACAACACGGTTAAGGTACAGGGCGTGCTGGGACATTAGGGATTCTACTCTAGAAGACTCACAATAGACGTTTGAGTTTACCAGGAAGCGCCAGCTTATCTAGACGTAATTTTATCACTAAGACCTACTACAATCATACCGGGAAAGTTTTGCCCTAAAAGAGCGAGGCTGCTGGGGTTATACGATCACCTTGCTTCGAATGAACATGATTTTTTTTTGTTTCAACGTCTCTATTAAATAGAGAGCTTAAATGACATTTTAAGCCGAATTCGAAAGCATTTGTGCCTGTTTATGAGGCGGTGAATTAATTAATATCCCATATTTTAAAAAGTAATTTACGTGAACAGAGATGAAAGGTAAAAAAAATCTCATTTGACAAAAAATTAAAGTTACGAGTCAATTTTAAACTTCAGTACGAGCTTGGACTCATGGGCGTATCGTTTGTGTTCGCCTTCGCTACAATATCATTGAAAAATAGTGAGAACGAGTCCAACCTTAAAAAAAAATGTTACCAGCAAACCGTACAAGCAGCAGATAATGACAAACGTTGTGGTAGTCATCAGGACTAAAATCCACTCCGGGCTGTAATAAATGTAACTTTCGTCCCCAGTAGCACTCAAGTGAGTTCGCAGCAACGTACTCAACGTAGGAACTGCAAGAGCCGACAAGAAATTCCCGCATAATTGTTGGAGAGCTGCCACTGTCGCCGCACTTGTCGGGAAAGCACACTCCACTCCCAGCTCCAGTGCAATCGGCTGTACCGGTCCCAATACAAACCCGAGAAATAGCAGACTAAGAAGCGTAAAGTGGATCTCCACCTTGGGTACCAGTCGAAAAACGGCAACCCCCAGTGCTACAAGCAGCAAGCAAAGCTGCAATACCGCCTTATGGCTCCTCCTCTTGTCCACTTCTCGACTGATTATTTGACTTCCAACAAGCGAACTGATGATAAAAACTGCGCCAAAGACGCCAATCTGAGTTGTGGAGAAATCCGTGACACTCAGAAACTTTGTGAGTAAAGCACACATGGCGTTCAACACACATTCTGCCATAGAAAACGCCACTACAGTGTGCTTAAACCCACTGTGCGAGAATGCGTTGGCCCACTGACTCCAGTCGTAGTCGTCTTCTAAATGTGAAATGGGTACAAAATGATCCGAACCAGATTTAGGATACGACTGGAAAAATAGGAGAGCAATGAGCCAAGAGCCTCCAGCTAATACAGCGATACAGAAGTTGTAGAACGGGACTTGCTCACTTGATAATACCACGAATGGGGCGGTGAGATAGACGATGGCAGTTCCCATGGCGTTGGCGTTAATCGCGACACTGGTGGCTGTGGCTCGCATAGATGAAGGGAACCAGTTGGCCGACAATACAGCAGGAGAGTTCACCATGAAGGGCATCGCAAACGACGCTAGTAGTTGTCCTAGTATTGTCACGTACGGCTCTTGAGCGCTATCAAGAGAACACGAGAAGTACCGTAAACCTGCACCTCCCGCTTGTAATAATCCGCCAAGTAAAACACCAAAGCGCAAACCGAATTTATCTATGATCCAGGAGCCAATGAAAGAGCACGGAATGTACGAGATGAAATAAATAGTGATGAGGTGTTCGGAGTGAATCTGAAATATGTAGCTCGTAAGATTGGCGAAATTTTCTGTCAATAATGTTATGAAAGTACACACCCGTTCCTGCCATCGTGACTCGACGATGCTGTCAATGGGCGCGTATGAGTAGCAAATGGCCTGGTTGATAGCGCTTAGAATCGATAAGATCGCGAGCATGAGCCATTTCGTGCAAGTGTCTCGTGGGGATTCAGAAGCCGCCTGTTGACGGTGCTTCGGTAGTAACGAGCCAGCCTCGGCTGGTCCAGACAGGAACATTGTCAGGCGCATTCCAACGCATAGGTGTAGAGCGTATAGGGACAACACCTTCAGCGTTTTGCTCTGCACGCGGCGACACGATCATTCTTTTGGAGACATTGAGTCGAAGTCAAAGCGGATCGCGGGCGACGATTCAGACTCAATCGTGACCGCACATTTCTTTAAGATCGCAAGGCCGAGGCATAAGTTTGATCTGCCACTGGCAGGTCACTAACCAACCCCGTACGGGTCGGAGTCAGGTTCAATATTTGAGAGGGGGTGACCTCGAAAACAAATAATTGAAAACAAATAAAAATATAATTAAAATAATTAAGTCTTAGCCTGACAGAATTAAAATTTTAAATCCTTGCAATTGTTAGCATGATTTACAGCTATCGACTGGCATCTTGGCATATTCTTATGGCCGCCATATTGTAGTAGAAATATTAGTGCGTTCGTTGAAGACTGGTTAGAGACAGTCGCTCTAAGCAGTGATTGCACTACGACGATGTTGGTCGCCCTGCACAATAGGTCTATTGAAGTTTGAGTAGCTCAATTCAGCATCAAACTATCGAATTATATCATAGAACCTCAATTGCGGTGATCTTGACCAGTAAAACAAGCAACAAATGCTAGGTTCGGTGTCAGTCTTGCACTGTTGGCTGCTTCAGAATTGCGCAGAGAGTCTAAATATTTTTTTCAATTTTATATCGCAGGATTTTTTTTTTTAAATCCTATTCGGGATCTCTGCTGCCTAGTATACGGGGTCTACTGAATATGTATCTCGATCCCTTTCAGAGAGGCTAGCAGCGCGGAAAAGTAATTTTACAGGTAAGCTTGACATCATGATGATAAAATGAATCGTCACTTTTGGCGGTGGCACTAAACATGCCATCATCAATTATTGAGATGCAGACTACCGGTGGTATTGCGATACTTTGATGTCGCTTTTTGTGGTTGTTTCCTCCAATAGATGACTAGTGTCCTTTTTAATTACTTTTAAGTATGCTTCCTTGCTGATGGTCAATGCCAAAATACCATTATAATAGCGGTAACATACAAAAACGTGATTAAGATTACGCCGGTCGTCAACAAGAGGAGCAAGGGTACATGTATCTACCACCACTTTCATTTGCGAATTTCTCTCTGCTCCCGCAATCTCCACTCAAGACCACCTGCAAAAAAGCGATTTTACTACGTCCATGCAGCTTTGGCAGTAGTCATTCTAGCCCACGGCAAAATGTCATTGGCAGAATCAAGCCAGAGCGCTTTGTCAACAGATGAAGAGGTAGAGAGCGCGGGGACAGCCGGCACGGTCATGCGCCTGTTACGTCAATTCTCTGAACTGGATACCGAAGACAATGAGGAACGTGCTGGGCCGGGCACAATTGTCTTCAACACGGCCAAGAAAATCGACGACTTTTTTAAAGTTGAAAAGCTCAACAAGGTGCTTAGTCCACAGCGGGCTGACGACTACCTGGAAGGGAAGAAGCTTGGGGGCTGGCTGGACAAAAAAACACTTGATTCGGTCCTTAACAGCCAGTTTAAGGCAAAAGAAGCCTTTTTCGCGCAATGGCGTAAATCGGGTCTTACCCCTGCCACGTTAGACCAGCTCCTCAAACTGGGTTATTATTGTGAACGCAAATCGATCAGTCCCATCTCAGTTTTACACAAGTCTTAATACGATATAGACCGCTCACTCTAATTAGTCGCAGTTTGAAATTAGTCGTGCATTCGCGCTTGAGTGACGGCACAAATCTGGAATACTTATCAATCCTAAACAAAAGCACCGGTTTTGGGTAGATCACTTTATCCTAGTATGCTTGATTTGAAATATGAGCAGGTAGTTTTTACATAACGGGCAACTAAGTTTCCAAATTTCCATGCTCCATCCTAAACACCATAAATTATGAATGATTAGGGTGAACCGTGAATAGGTTATCAGGCATGAAGAGTCTCATTAAATGTATTATCTGCTACCTCGAAGTATGTGCATTGACTGGGTTAACCGCAATGAACAATATGTTGCAAGGGTAGAGCTCGTTTACAATTGAAGTTAGAACTGTTAAGCTGAAAGAGGAGTTAAGAAAAACAAATCTTAGATTGCTCCTATTCAACGCTTCAATTCTGAAACCACCATCGTGTATCCGCTGAAAAGCAAATGCAGAAATTCCTCGTCGTCAAGTTTACTCTGCAGCCAATTTATTTGTGATGTTGGGGAACTTCTTGTCTTGCACCCCCCCCATCTTCAGCTTCAACGCCGACGGTTGGCGCGAAATGTTATGATTGGCAACAGTTCCCAACCCCCACAAACTGCACCCATGCATCTCATCGGAGTCCTCAATGGTTTTTCCGCTTAACGCGAGGGGTACAAACAACATGCCGAGGTGAGAAAAGTATGCCGTGGTACTCATGGCTGAAACATCTCGGCCCCCGCCTCGCGACCCACAGCTGAAGAAGACGCCGCAAGGATTGCCAATCACCTCGCCCTTTACCCACATGGGTAGATTATCTACCGAATCGTAAACGGGTCTGCTCGGCTAGTGGGTCGTGTGCACTAAGGGGTCGTCTTATAATAGATCGTAGAAAGATACTCGCGGAAGTGGTGTGTAATTTGCAGGAAATTTAGTATCACTATACTCCGAATTAAGTAGCAATATTCAGTGAATTCAGTGAATTCAGTAGCGATATTCGGCGAATTCAGTGAAGATTATTCGGCAAATTTAGTGAATTCAATAGCGATATTCGGGAAATTCAGTACAGACAATAAGCGATTTTTACCACCAATTTTCCAATAGCTCAGTGATTAGCTGTCCGCCTTTGGCTACAATCTACGTGTTGGATGCACAGATACACGGGGAAGAGGAGACGGCCGACTGGACTGCACCCTTCTGTGCCCGCAATCGTAGCTGACGCAGCGAACCCGGCTTCAGATAGAACAGTTCCTCCTTGCCCTCCTCATCAGTTTCCCGGGTCTCTTGAGCGTGACCTCCCACAGCTCGGAGGTGCGCATCCGTGCAGTGCCAGAGGACCACCCGCTGACGGTAGAGCTCGACTTTGCCATGCCTCCCACGGCCTGGGCCACGTCAGCGCCAGGACAATGGCGCCCGATTGGCCAAATGCTCAGCAGCGGGAAACTTGCTCGGAGCGTCGCCACTGCGCTGCGTCCCGAGGTCACGGTACTAGCAATTCATCCCCACCCTCGGCTCAGCCGCCTCGTATGCCTACGGCGAGCCCGGATCTTCTGGCATAGCTCACGGAGGCAGTATCGTGCTGCCGCGGCGGCTCGGTCCAACCGGAAAGGGGAGACCAGCTCGATCAGGCGGTTGACACGATGGAAGGAGGCTAACCGACACGTGTGTGTGGGACTGGATGCTCTGGAATGGAAGCGTCTTCGTCGAATAGTCGGACTTGGACCATGGGGAGAGTAGCTTCTCATCCGAATCAAGAACTATGCGTGATCGCTGTACGACCCTACGCGAGTATTTCCGGGACGCCTCCATCCGGAGTGCTTTCGAGCTCGTCACGTGAACCTTTTTCATGTCTTTTGGTCCTTCCCGGCGGCCGCAGCGCTTCGTCGGGTGTTTTTGCGCCGGTGGCGTGTAAGGATCTGGGGACCCCGGCTCTGATCGAATCGATATTTGGGCTTGCGTTGCCCAGACTACCCAAGGAAGTATGGACTGATGTGTTTCACTTGTACCCGTCTATGGCCGCCATGGATTTAGACCAGCTCACTCCGGTCCTCACGGACGTAGCTGAAAGCTGTTGGCGAGTCGAAGCGGCGCTATACTAGCACGGCGTCTGGCGGTGGAGAGTCGCTTTTTTCGTCTCTCTCAACACCGTCGCTGTGGACTCCCACTCGACTGTATTGAGGTTGCGTTTGGCATGTGGCTATGACACGATGCACCACCACCTACGCCTTAAAGCCGCTCATCTCCATTATGAGCGTGCGATCAACGTTATGAGAAGGGTCCTCAGAAATAAGGGGGTTGTCCTGTGTGGCCGCGGCACCGTGGGCTCCACGCGTTTTCTCCTCTTTTTCGACGGGGGGTCCCGTGGAAATCCTGGTCCCGGGGGGGGGGCGGTCGTATTGTCCTTGGGGACGGACGCGGCTAGCTATAATCTGTGCTGGGTGGGCAGTATGGCCTACGGGTTACCGAGAATGACCAACGATCTTGCGGAGTCGCTTGGACTGTCAGCTGATGCTGGACCAGCACCGCCGCAGGCGTCCTCCCAAGGCGCATCACCTCAGGGCGGTTTATGTTTAATGCAAACGAGTGGCCGGACAGCTGACAGTACTGTCCTGGCGGCACCATTCGAGGGAGCACAAGTAAATGGCTGAAGCACTAGCCAACATGGCGATGGACGCCCGCCGTAGCGTTCAAGTTCGACTCACGCACGAATCTTGCCCTTTCGAGCGCTGGTCTACCGTTTACGCTCAGGCTGCCAACGATGTTGGCCACTGGTTACAGCGAGACCAACATGAGCATTTTTCGAGATCCGTGTCCTCATCACTGTAAGGTGATGGGGCATCCTTGTGAACTTGGGTCATAAGGCAGGGTGGGTGGATTGAGACGGCCGCCCGCGAGGTCATAAAATGTCGTTAGTGTAACTAAGTGACAGCCATGTTCCATAACAAAAAAAACGGATGCACAGATAGCACACTTACAGTTTCCGTGTTTAGCTTTGAATCTGTGAATGACGCAGCCATTGATAGCTTTATCCTCGCCTCTGCCCCCCCACATCTATCATATCTGTGCAACGGCACCTCGGTGTGTGTGGGCATCAAGGGAGAGAGGTCCCAAAACAAAGATTTTTCAAATGGGCTTCGGATACACTAGAGCGTGGAGCTCGCACCTAAAGATTGTGTTCCGCCGCAGTGTCTACCGTAGTACTGCGAGCACAGCACGACTAGCAATTCGATCAACAGTCAGTGCATTCGAGTTGGTGAATGTGCACATCTGCGTCCAGCCTGGTCCCGGAACACGTGTTGATATTATTAATTGTACAGCTGCAACGAAGCGGCGGGTTGTCAGCCTTTTCGTTCTCGACTTTATGGAACCGGTGAATGAGGTGTGGCGGCAAGTGAGCTCAGAGTCTTACCTGGATGATGACTTGATTCGAAAAGGGCTGTCGGAAAAGCATGTGAAGAGTCGAGTATATCGCGTCCGCCAGAAATACAATGGGATTTACCTTCATGGGCGGGTCGAAGTACCACCTCTATCGATGGTGGAGGGGAAAACGCCGAGCCGCTTTCAGTTTCACATACCCAGAGTCAGACCCTACCGCTGAACCGGACCGTGACATTGGCTGGATCCGTCCAGAGCGCCGCCTGCTACTCATGTACAACGGCGCTTCACTTTTCTTCGATGGGGTTATTTCGATGTGTACCCAGCGACTTTAAGCAGTGCAAGGTCATAATGGTGTATGATTAGGCCAGTGAGCTATTTGTCCCAGTTTACTTCGTTCTATGCAGCCCCAAGGCATAGGACATGTACTTCGACATTCTGATCTATAGGGATACCTCCGAGAAGCTGCGAGCCATGTGACGTGGTGTGTGACTTCGAGCAGCCTTTGAACAGGGTATTGCGAAGCCGTTTCCAAATGCTGAAGTGATCGGCTGTCTGTTTCACTCCAAACAGGCATTCCGGAGTCAAATGAAGTCTATCTTCTACATCCGTGGTGCAGAGGTTCGCATTGCTATGGAGAAAGGTGTGCTTCACATACATACGGTTATTGATCCTGAGCTGGTTCTTCTGCACGGTCTCCGGTGGGCGAAACGCACTATTCGCGCCAAATGTAACGCGGCAGGGATTGCATACACACGTGCAAAGTGGAAATAGTTCTGGAAGTACTTTTGCGCTACGTCGCTGGAGCGGTACACCATCGAATTGTACAATGGTCACGGGCTATTCAACGGTCCTCTGGCTAGAACAAACAACCCCTCGTACAAATAAGAGAGCTAAACAGAGCGTTCCCAAAGCTTCACCCGTACATCGCCCTTCGCCGCGGCGATTCGGATGATTTCTCAGGATTCCGTCACCAAGTTGGCAAACGTGGCACAAGGTGCAGCGTAGCAGAGGCAGCAAAATCAATGCTAACAAAAAGAAAAGGGACGTCGTTGCACGAGTGCTACTGATGGGTTTAACCTAGATACTATTGATCTCCCCACTCCAGTGGTATTTGCTGAAGTAGATCAAGTTTCCGACTCTAGAAGTGAAGACGATATGCACGGAGGTGATGTTGATTCCGTTGAAGAGAGTGATATGGCCAATGTGCTGAGAGGGACGAAGGCGCTTGTTGATTTCATGTTTGAGCCTTGTGAGTTTGGCAACGCGGATGAATCGGCCGACATCAGCGGAGATAAGGTCGTACAAGCTGCAGTTGTTTAGAAGCATCTAAATATGTGCTCGCAGCTAGCCAGAAGCTGTTAGCACCCCAGCTACATCTTTGTGGTAGGGGATAGATGTAGTGAGCGTTTTGGACGTTACGAACTAGTGACTCCCTGATATTTGAATACATGTTTGTCGCCATGCATTAAATACATATACTTATGTAGTTTCCTGACTAACCTGGCACCGGTCATGCCTGATGCTTAGGTCGGCAACAATAAGCGTCCCGAATGCACGAATAGGCCTGTATATGACCCCGGAAAAAGTCTATCACCCACATGTCCCCCCGCGCATCGAATAATGCTTTCATCTGAGCGGGCATCATGCGCGTGGATAAACCCAGCATGACACCATCAGCATTCTTGAGGACGTCAGGAGTGACAACGGGGAAGTCAGACTTCGGTAGGGCGTGGCGTTTATCGAGAACGTCTACGCTGAGTGTATCCTTCACTGGCCTTGAGCTCCAGGCACAGTGTCGATACCTCTTTGAATAGCCGAAGCCATCTTTGCGACGTGTCCGAACGTGGAGTATAAGACGATGACCACCTTGGTCATTTTAGTCGATATTTGTACAGTTGGCTTTATCGCTGGCGAGCAAATTAATTTTATGGGGAGGCATGGAGCATGGTGTAGCTTATTTGATGTCATAATTGGTGAATGAAGCGCAACCAGCTCCGGATTACCTCGATGTCAGTGCATAACCAAATATCGATTACTTTCGCGTAGTCGACAAACCAAATACTGTATTCAGTTTGTAGAACTGTTTCTGGCGAAGAAAAAAACTCTGTGGGTGAACTTACTGTCGTATTTATCGAATTTAAATTGGCTCTTAAGACTAATCAGGGTATTACTGCAGCAAAGCTACTTTATAAAGAAAACAAATTACTGGGACGTCTAAAGTCCATCAGGGGTACCGATATAATGCTTTCATTAGTAATAGGCAGGCAATACCTCTGGCAGGGTAAGAAGCAGTTATTGGACTATGTCCAAGGGTTGAGAGCGCTTATCGCCGAAATGGCGGAGGACCCGCTTCTGGTACTCGTCATTGTGACCGTGTTCATGGAGAGACTTCGTGTGAGCGCAGCTCGAACGGAAGTATTTCGTGTACACACGAACGCTTTCAAAGAGGCGGTGGATGTGGCATTGAATGCCGAGCACAACTTTGGGTTGGCTCGATCTGGGTAGAGCGCTGGCAGCGCGAGACCTTCATGCGGACGGAGCCTCCGGGCCTCAGCTATGTTGAAGACAAGGACGCGGAGCTTCTTGCTGCGGTACAGCGCGCCGGCATCCGCCAATGCGTTGTGTGCAATAGTAAGAAGCAGTTGAGGGCCTATTGCCCTCTGCGCAAGAAGCGCGAGGCTCCGGCGAGCCAACCCTCAGTCATCGCCGTGAAACGGCAACGCCCAGAAGGTGCGGGGCGGCCTACTGGGGGATACCGAGATCTGTTGTACCTCGAGGAGGTAGAGGGCAACGGGCACCAGCACCGAAGAGAGCGGAGCGCTCTTACAAGAAGGGTGAGTGCAAGCCGGGCTTGCTGGTCGTTTAAGCGAACGTGAAGGGCTTCGCGGAGCCATGGCGAATTCGGATGGACTCGGGAGCCTTGACCAACTACGCCCCACCCTGGAAGGGAGGCAGCTGTATGCTGAGGCACTGGAAGTTCCATCGAGTGATACGATCTATGTCCGTCTCTCGATGGGGACACTGGTGTCTGTGTCATAGGTCTCTGTCGACCTTGGTGTGAAGATCGAGACCTTCAATAGCGTGAAATGCTGTTTGGACTTAGACTTGGATGCAAGGTATGACCTCATCCTTGACACGGCATGTCCGGAGCGCCATGAGCCATGGATTGACTGAGGATCAAAGACCTCTTGGCTCTCAGCCGAGTGCCTCGCGAGACACTACCTCCTCTTAGAGGGGTGATAGCGCTGCTACACCTGGTCGTGGTGATAAGGAGAGGGGAGAAGAAGACGCAGGGCATCTGTGACGTCGTCGACATTGGAGGAGGTGTCTAATGTGGCGAGCGATAAGGCTCCACGTGATCGCTGTTTACAGCTGTACGCACTCTTCATTGACGTGACGGAGGAGGATGAAGGCGACATCAGCCTTGACACTCTACCCGCTGTAGATGCTCTGCTAGAGTTAGACGAGAGGTATTTTGATGAGTTTGGCGAAGCCTGAAGGCAGGTGAGCTAGCCGAGGTGGTCCTCCGGAGATCTGAGGAGGAGTTGAACTCCTCACCCGTCGTGGATGACGCGGTCGTGTAAGACGCCAAGAAGGCGCTGAGCGTACGAAGTGGATCGGCGATCCTTAAAGACCCTACTGCCCTGTGGTGAAGGCGTATGAAGACGTTGTTTCGAAAGACCCACCGACGGGTCAGCTTCCGGATTGAGGCGTGTGTCATGCAATAGATCTTTTTTCTGGAAACAATACTGCGCGGCAAGACAATGGTCTTTGCCAAGGGAACAGTGTGACGTCATTTACGTATTATTCCGTGCAAGCATGAAATAGGTAAGGTGCGTGGGCGTTGTCTCCATTTAACAGGGAAGGTGCGTGAGAGTAGTCTCCGCACTCGACACCCACGCTCTGTGTCAGAAAGCTGAACGGCAAGTGGCGCATTGTTCATGCTTTCGACAAGCTAAATGCGGCCACCTTCCCGACGCAAAACGCCGATACCTCGCAAGGATGATCTGCAGAGCAACATGGTAGGCTGTGCGTTGGAAAGGGCACTCGACTTGGTCGATGGTTACTACCAATTGCTCATGAGAGCGAGCGACATTCAGCTGACAGCGGTGAGTACTATGAGCGGTATGCTCTGGGAGAGGCTGGTAATACCAGGGGATGTTAAAACCACTAGCAACGCTCAATCGTCTTGTGATGCAGTTGTTCTGGCCCTACCCGACGCACGCTCAGACGGACGTGGACGATATATTCGTTCAAAGTTGGGTGGAGCACGGAAAGTCAGACGTGGAGAACCACATTGACCACTTGCGAACGGTACTCGAGTGCATGCGCACTAATAAGTTGTATGCCAACTCGGACAAGTGCGTCTTTGGCGCGAAGGAAATATCTTTCCTCGGGTGTTTCATTGGGAACCGTGGCTTACGGGCAGATCCTGCCAAAGTCAAGGCCATCGTGGCCCGGCTCCCAAGAACAAAAACAACTTACATAAGTGGCTAGGCCTAGCCGACCACTTGCACAAATACAGCGCGAGCTACGCGGAGATGGCTTGGCCATTATCGGATCTACTTAAGAAGGATGAACCATGGTGCTGAAACATCGAGCACGACGGAGCCTTTGAGGCAATGAATGAGCGCCTCCTCCCGGTTCTAGTCCTTGTGCTACCGGACCCTGATCGTCCGTTTAGCGTCGTCTGTGACGCCTCCCATCTTGCAATCGGCTGTCCTTTATGTACTTTACTACAAGCAGACGCCGAAGGGCGTGAACGCGTGATTGCGTTTGAGTCTCACCAGCTCAAAGCTTTAGATAACAACTATCCGGTTCATGACAAAGAGCTACTTGCAATGTGGTATGCTTTAGCTTAGCTCAGGGTACACCTGCTAGGGTCTAAGCCTTTTTTGTGCTCTTTACTGATCAGGCATCGCTACGCACTGCGACGCAATCGCCCCCCCCCCACCCCTCTCTCAGAGAATGGCAAGATGGCTTTTCTTCTTTGCCGAGTACAGCTTCAAGGTGAAGCACAAGCCGTGGTGGCTTAATGTAGTGGCCGATGCGCACTCTCGCATGCCGGACTAAGAATTAGCCCATGTCACGACAGTGACGTTGTCGGTGTTTGCCTTGATACGCGGAGCGCATGCACAGGACGACATGTGGGTAACGGTGCTAGGCGTTCTTGGGAGAGGCAAATTTAAAGACTCTGTCAAGGAATGGTCTGGTCGCTTACGCGCGAGACTGCATCGATACTCACTTAATGGCGATCAGCTGAGCTACAGCACCGACTCTGAGGTAAGGCCAGAAGTGTTTTTTGCCTAAACTTTAGACTCACTTCCTATATTTCATTGCAGTACCCAAGTTAGCGACACCTCAAAGCCAACATCCATGGGTATCATTTACTTCCTGCTCGTTACGGCAAGTCTACTCTCAAGCTACAATGCTAATGCCGCCATCTTAGGCGATGACCAAACAAGGATGTACACAGTGGCTTCAACGGACGCTGCGGCGCTAGTCCGCGTTGTCGATACCAGGAACGTCAAGAGGCTTTTGCGAATCAACCACGAGGGCGAGGATGATGAAGAAGAGATAGTGAACAATCCGTGGGAGACGAATCTATACAACTCGAAGAATGGAGAACTAAGTGGGCTACGAAAAATCAATTTGTTATTCAAGGAAGGAAAAACACCGGCCCAGGTCTGGTATAAGCTATCTGGGCTGGGTGCTGGCATGATACAAAAGAACGGGATGAAATTCAACCTGTTTTTTTTACAAAGTATAACGCTGTGCATCCCCGCAACCCTGGCGAGTCAAGATGAGGTTCTAGCTATTTCACATAGCTTAAACATTACTTAATGGCACTTGTCAGTTACAAAAACCTGTACTACTTGTTATTTTGCTACTACTGAAGTAAATGCGAGTGCCGTACTAGCACTAATAATTGGCTGTTTGTGATAAAGGAAATTCTTTCCAGTTTTAGGCGTTTTCTTTTCGTGCTGCTAGTGGTAGCCCCAACCTACAGGCAGTAGAAAAAAACGTGCGAGAGGGGGGGGTAATGCAATGTGAGTATGTTATCTGTTTTTAGGCTCTAAAACAACGCCCTGCGGAAAGGCTCGCTGCGAGAAAAAAAGTGTTTAAAGACAAACTCCACTAACCGCAACTGTCACGCCAAAGACATTTGATGCAATGGAGCCTGGCTTTAGCTACCCACAGGAGTCCAATCGGCATAATAATTTATTTTTTTATCTTGATGGATGCGTTGCTTATGTTTACTTTGACCAAAAGGACTGCTAGCGCCTGGAATGGTCAAATATATGTTCTTCTTGGTGCCGAACGAGCTTGTAATCCACGGACCATCTTCACGTTATGGAGCTATAAGGAGAGCACTAAAAATAATGGTAACTACTGAGGTTTCGAGTATATTTAAATGAAGGAATTCCGCTCACAGTACAGCAAAAACCGAAAACATATTTTTATGCATACGTTTCACGCGCTGAGGTACCAATAACCGCTGCATTTAGTCGCTGACCCGCTTCCCTTTTACGTTTGCTAGTCGTTTTATATCAACATAGCGCTCGTGCATCATGTAGACAATCATGTACTTCTTTTCGGTGGCTGGGTAAATCTTAACGATTTTAATTATCGAGCTTGGATCCACACCTTCTGCGTGCCAGCGTTCCAATACTTGTGTCTTCCCTTAATAATATTCAGTGAATATGAGAGGGCAGCGTCGAGCTGCGTTTTAAGCACGGCTTCTTTCAGCAGATCATCGGTCAACTTTGGATCGACGGTTTTCTTTTCGAGTTTAACGATCCTGTAATTCATCCTGACGTTGAGGCCGTCTTACGCAGAAATCCCACCGCACCACCGGGCTTGTTCTGACTTGACCGCCGATGCGATTCGACTCAGGACGGCAGTTATTGCTGAAAATTTTACCTTTTAGAAATTGCTGTTTACATATGTCAGCGCTCGGCGCGGCTAATCACTTTTCTGTTGTGAACTCTAATCGTCGATTATGTCTTATTGCGACACTCAGAAGGTCAACTTTTTATAAAGGTAAAGTCAAATGATTTGCTGTGTGCTGACGCTGTAAATGCATGTGTTTGGCATGAGAAAACCCCGGGCGCGCATATCGCTCACTCACTTTGCGCTCAGGATGATAGACGGTCCGCAAGTCCGACGGTGCTCACTCGTGAAGCGAATGTTGTCTGAATGTAGCTGGCTGAGGGTGCTTATTGAAAGCACCACACACGAGCTTCCTCCGCGGTATACAAACTCCACCAGTACACGAGCTTGCGCGACGCCGTACAGCACTCCCGGCAGAACCATGGTAGGGCTCTCGATGAGAGAGCTGCCAGAAGAAACTCTTCGCGCAGGGGATACATTCGAGTATCATTCGTGGATGTTCGTGGGTGGCGATCCCAGAAGCCATGGCATCGCACGGATTTTGAAGGTCTCTCAGAATGAAGACCCCGAATACTTGATCCGAGTGAGCATACGCAAGATGTTCTCAACTAATGAAGCGGATTTCCGATGTATCTGGGGTCCTTTTCAAGGTCTGCAAGTGGAGTAAGCTGCGTACATATATTCTGAAGGACGGCGAGGTAAATTTTCCTACGGTGTCCAGCAAATTCAATTCTGCGCTGCGGCAGGCAGTCGCCCATGGTTGGGCGGCAGCATCTATACGTATACAACAAAAGAATGAGCAAAAGAAGTCGCAGCTACTTGATGATTCTGACGGAGAAGTAGAAGCTACAGCAGACCCCGGTTTTTTGAGTACGAGTTCTACGAGGACCCAGCCACCTTCAGTTGCTGCTTTCAGCTCTGCTCTACGCCTTCCACTTGAGACAACCCGAAAGGTCAAGTTTTAGCGAGGAATGTGGCGCCTGCGTCAGATTCGGACCTCTTTGAGTTGCAGGAGATGAACAATACGAGCCCCAGGACTTCATCTGTCGTCAGGGTCGTAAATGCTGCGCTTGAATTAGGGTCCGCCCGTACTGAAGCTACTACTGGACGTGAGGATACATCATAACATGTTACAGATCCCATGCCTAGAGAGGAAGAGGTGCTGGTCGGAAAAGTCCGTTTGAATGATATTCCTACGCGCCTGGAACGGAGCAAGATTCGCCACCAAGCAAAGCAGGGGTCCATTGGGTGGCACCAGCCTCGATCACGAAATAAGAAACACATGGCAATGAGTGCCATCACTCGTTCCGGCACCAATATCTACCATGCAAACTCGTTAAACGCAAAAAAGCTGCAAGAATTCCTACGCCTGTTCGCGAGCGACTGAAAGCGCTGCATTTCCAACGGCCGACGTTCTCCCTTGACACTTCAGCTACTATTTGTCCGATACTACCACCGCCCGACAACGCTGTAGAGTGGTCGGACGGCGGCAACGAGATTAATGAGTGCAGAGCTCCTGATGGTCTCACTTTCCTGACGTTGGCAAGCTCGACCCGGGTGTATGTGTGGGCGATTCCTTCTTAGATTCCTGTGACAATGCACGGTCGTCTATTTACTGCACTGCTTACTGCTGCGCGCGAAGTGGTGTCTGCAGTAATTCCCCAAGAAACCGAGCTACTCTCTGTCTATTCGATACTATGCGCGTTGGTATTGGTGTTTACACAGCAACGTTTCTTGACGTAGGAGACATTATTGGTGAGTACGTTGGTCAATTGAGTGAACATAATGCACAAACGGAAGGACAGCCAGAGGTAGCGAAGAAGACGAACTCCGGGTACACGATGTTGTACTACACCAAGTCTGCCAAGAAGAAGTTCGTCTACATCCAAGCGGAAAAAAGCGACTCCATGATGCGATTCCTATCACACGCGTGTGAACCTAACGCAGATTTTCTGGAGATGCGCAACAGACGCTCAGTGAAGGTCTTGGTCGTTATGCGGAAGACTGCGAAGGTCGGAACTCAAATTACAGTCAACTACGGCGATGAAGTCTGGTTTAGATGCGCATGTGAGGACTGCTGGACAGGGTAGAGTATACAGTGAGGTGTACGCTCTGTAAATTCCTCTGTAAATGACGCTTGTTCTTACTAAAAAAAAATTAACAGTCCAGCAATTCAGTCAAGTACCTAATGCATTCTAACGCAAGCTGGTACAAGCTCTACTATTCCTCCAAACTACTTGCACGCGCGAATGTTGATATTTAACACCTTCCTCGGTTTTACAGCCTCTGCATGTACATCAGAATCGCACGTACGTATCTGCAGCAGATGTGCGAGCAATGTGTCGAGTGCTGGAGCTTACTCCTCGCAAAACTAAAACAGCGTCCGCAACACCTAATTCAATGTTAGGGCGGAACAGCTCGTGTAGCAGTTGCCGGAGATATGCATCTATTGTGGTCAAACGCTCACGTTGACAGAAGTGTTACCCTCATTAGAAGAAGATTACAATCTCGTTTAAAAGTTACCAGCCAAAATTGCAAGTACTGGAGGTGGAAACCTACTCCAACAAGAGTGCTGGGCCAGTGTTAGGAGGCCTGCCATCCTGATATTCAGCTCTGCGCTTTCCAATTGCGCGGCGACTAACTAGAACCCGCCGTCCAGCTCCATCAATGCGATCAGGCGCTCGCATGGCAAATAGCAAGTGTACGCAGGTTCTAAACTTGTAGCAGTAAATGCACGGGCATCACTGCAACCGAAGCTGTACAGGCCATCCTGACGGAGGTTCAATCTCGACCTCCATCCTTGCGTAGTTAGCCCCTTGGCCAGCGGTGGGACGTCTCCAGTAATAAGCAAAAATATGCGGGCCATGGCATGTCGAATACGCAACGGACGGAGTCTTTCCTCCGCGAGCCCGCGGCAGTACTCCTTCTGCCTAATTGACATCTTCAAGCGCTTGTGTGATGTGGCACACGTAAAATGCTCTCCTAGCTCATAGATATAGTACCGCTCAGTGGTAAGGCAGACCAAACCTTTTCCACGCCAAGAGCACTTAAGCTCGCTGCAAGTGGAAGACTCGCATTGTAGTAGTTTGTACCGCATGCTGCGCTCTGAGTAGCCATACAAGCCATAATGTTGCTCTTTTCGGTACTATGTGACTAAAGCTGCGAAAACAAGGCGTCTGCTTCATCGGCGCTAAGCTCTCTGCCGAGCTGTCTCCACGGCAGTACCTTCGGCATCTTCCGGTCGACGAGTTTGAGTGTGAGGGGGCCGCCTCGACGTGATTGGCTGTGGGTAAGACTGGCTGTGCGGTCCCTTGCTCAAGCTGCGGGCATCCACGCACTGTGTGGCGGTACCATATTATGAAGTGCTGCCCTGTATTTTGTGTCGAAAAACGCATTTTTATGTGTTTTTCATGGTGAGAAGGTGCCAAAACGCAACTTGAGGTGTTTACAGGCATTTGAGGTGTCAACGCAACAACTAAATGTGCAATTCACTGGTTCTCGTTTGGCATGTTCTGTCGTACTGATATCGTTTGTATCACGAGATCGATTTGTACAGTACTGCACATCATTTTCGCGAGATTGGTTTATATAGGATATGCAAGAAAATCAGATTTTAGCTGAAAATCCATTGTTTAATTGAATTGAAGATCATCACATCCGGAAGTCTATCAAAGGTCCAAGGGCGCGAAACGGTTGCAGTACTGTACAAAAGGCACCAACTAACGATAGACGACAATGTCGTCACGGAGATGCACATATCCTAAAAACAAATGGATTACAAAGACCAAGAGCATGTTTGGCTAAGGAATACCAAAAGAACTGTGAATTGCACAACTACATGTATGTATTAGCGGCCGTCAGGGTTGGCAGATTAGCAGGTTGCAGGGTCTACTGCCCAATCATATTCACGGAACGCTGACAGAAGGATAGCCTGCCGTCTAGATGCGTACTACTACTACTATTACTAGCCGAGCGCCGTCGCTAGGCGGCGGTAGTTTAGGTTTATTCAAGTTGTTTGCCTTCCCGCCTCCGCTTCGCTTCGGGTGGATAAATATTCCAAAACCTATGAGCCCCAATGTGTCTAAATCGACTTCTTTAATGTCCTATTTCAATTTAGACTATTCGTTACAAAATGCTGAGTCCGTGCAACTGTTCCTACAAAAACCTGAGCATCTAGCATCATACTTACCATGCTTAAAAAAGAATATGTGATCTTGACACAGTCTCTTTATTATTGTTGATATTCACTGTCAGAATCACCTGCACTTCAAATAGCATGTCTACAAACGCCACACAATATACTTAGCTTTGCGTCGTGCTCGATATCACGGGCCATTTCTGAGCCGCTATGAAATCTAGCTCACATCAGCGCAAACGATAGTAATGGCCTGTCCAGCTTGCACTGCTTACCTGCTTGTACTGCCTATTTCAGCTTGTAAGTAGAAATTCACTTCTCATATCAAACGCTTCAACTGATTCATATTTTCATAATCTTACGTCGAAATAATTCCCTCCTGTCTCCGCTCTGAGGATTTAACAGAAATTCGCAGGTTTATGGTTCAAGTTCATGGCCACCTCCCTGTCTTCATTGACGCTCGGCAAACAGATCTTTGTCTCGTGGGTTGAACGTTTATACTTGCCTTTACTGCATTATCATTGACAATTAAAAAAATATAGTGAGCTCACATATAAAAAAGTAAATCAACATGAGTACTCACAAGGAACTGAACACGACAAACGTTGCTATCGTGGCAATCACCATCACACCCTCAGGACTGATGAAAAAATCCCTAGTCGTTTCTTGGCCGTCCGTCTGCATCCGTTGCAGAGCACTAAGACCAGGGACAGCAACAGCAGATAACAGGTTCCCACATAGCTGTTGTAAAGCTGCCACCGTCGCTTCACTGGTCGGGTATGAACATTCCACTCCAAGCTCAAGAACCACCGGCTGAATGGGTCCAAGAACAGCTCCAAGCACTAGCAAACTCAGCAATGTCGCCTGCACTTTCACCTTTGGCACTAGTTGAAAAACTGCAATTGATACTGCCGTCAAGAGTAAGCAGATGAGCGACACGGTCTTGTGGTTTCTCATCTTGTCCACCTTCTGACTGACCAGTTGGCCCCCGACAAGCGAGCTCACGATAAACCCAGCGCCAATAAACCCAATTTGGGTTTTACTAAACGTGGTGACGCTTAGAAACTCATCTAACAAGGCGCTTAGAGCGTTCACAATACATTCCGCTAACGAGAATGCCACAATGGTATGCCAGAAGCCAGAGTGGCTAAACGCGGTCGACCATTGTCTCCAGTCGTATTTTTTGTACTCTAGTTTTGTGTGTGAAAATTGATCAATTCTGACAGGTTTTGATCGAAAAAAGACCAATGCAACCACACAAGAGCCAATAGCCAGCAACGCGATGTACAGGTTCCAGTCTGGAATATCATCCCGAGAACGCACGAGGAAGGGAGCTGCCAGATACACCAATGCTGTGCCCAACGCGTTCGCGTTTAATGCGACGCTGGTGGACGCTGCTCGCATTGATGGAGGGAACCAGTTCGCAGAGAACAGAGGCGGCGAGTTCACCATGAACGGCATCGCCAATGCCGCGAGAAGTTGTCCACTAAAAGTTGTGTACATCTCTCCGGCTGGAGCGAGAAAGCACGCAAAGTACCGAAGACTTGCTCCAATTGCCTGCAACAAACCTCCGAGGAGAACGCCATACGCGAGCGATTTTTGATCCATTATCCAGGACCCAACGAATGCGCCAGGAATGTACGAAATGAAGTAAATCGTAATTAGAGTTTCTGCATGTAGCTACACACACAAAAAGTTATTTTTTGTCAACGAATAAGTTAGATATACATTACTTACTTGATGGTTCCACCTGTCCTCCACTATGGTGGAAATGGGTGCGTACGAGTAGCAGATGGCTTGGTTCACAGCGCTGAGGACGGATAAAATGGCAAGCATGACCCATTTCTCGTAGGAATCTCTTGATGTTAAGGTCAGCGATGGCTTCAGGATCTGTTTCTCCAGCAACACAACTCCTGGAGCAACGTTAGCGCAACTCAACCAGCTATAGCAAGAAAGTTGGACGTACCTTCGATGTCGCTTGTGTCGCTCGGTAGCGCCGTCATCTTCGCTCTTACGTGGGACTGCAGACTGCTTACATGCACATGCATTCAGTGTCAAAACGTTGAGATGTCATACAGTTGAGGCAGAGACTCAAGCACCCACATTCAACCAGCGCTTTTCGTGATCTTCCACCAATCGGATCTTTACGCACACGACCGTTCGCCTTCTTGGTATCCGTCAATATTAGGTTTAATACTAAACCAACGCTGCGGTCATTCAATCCTGGTCAGTCTCCGTGTGCACGCTTTAAAACGGATTACCGGTATCAGTAAGATTAAAAAAATAATTACCGGTATCAGTCATACTGGTATCAACTTTTCTTTGCTATTCACGTAGACGACCTGTGTACGGCAGCGCATGCCCTTGTAGGAACGCATCAAATTGAGCATGTAGCAGAGCAGCAACAATATTTTACGGAGGCGAATCAAAGGTCCGAGGGTACTAAAACGGGGTGCACAATATAAGCTTCTCGCTCGGCCAGACTCATCCTATCTGCTGGACCTACAAAGAATTATTCGACTTGACCAACCCTTCAGGGGAGAGGCTAGCACCATTGAAAACTCGAGTCACCACCTTTAGACTTTCTAGTAGCCGCAACAGCGAAGTCAATAGGTCTGTCTGCCACTGAAGACGCGTAATTCGACCGCTTGTCTCATCCCTTACAAAATGCATCGACCCGTGGATAACAAAGCAACTTGTCCGCAGTTTTGGACCGTTTCCCGTTACTGATCAAGTTTGGGAACCCATGACGCAACATTCGCTCTGTAATAGTGAGCTCGCACACAGTTTTGACGATAAGGGAGTCCAGGTCCATCGCACATGTGCAGCGGTTGCATGTCGATTTTTTCGTAGCACCGAGATTGAAAGACAATCGTTTCTATCAGGGCTTGGAAACCAAAGACCACACCATCAGAGACGTCATCTGCCACTACCGCCCTGAGGAAATCCAGCTGAGTTTTGGTCTGGGCGAGCATCGAGGTAGTGTCCGATAACGAGAAAGGACTCTTTAAAGCTGGATCACTGACGCCGTGTCGAAAGAGACGGAAGTACTCAGCAGCAATGGACCAGATGGAAGTGTTCGAGGCGACAGCAACCGATGCTTCAATTCCACCTCTGGAATCACTTCTTCTTTGAGTTTCTGAACAGTGTCCTGAAGGTCTTCCACGAGTTTACGCTGCCGAATCTTGTAGCGTGCCTGGTGCATTCGATTCCGCTGACGTCGGTGCTCGATCTCGGCTGTGTATCTGGTATTTAGATCGTCAGAGGCCGAAGCTGCTTTCGTCTTTTGTACCTCGGACTGGGATGTATCACCGCTCAGGGTATGAGAGAGAAGGCGTTTGTGACCGGTGATACTGGGTAGACGTGTTTAATAGAGAACAGCGTCTCCGTCCGCAGGCCATCCAGATCTCGAAAAGGTGAAGGTCGGATGGGGCTCGGCAACCTTCCGTTCTGTCCGCAAGGGTGGTGTACTATACCCATGTACTTTTCGTTAAGCGACAGAGCCAATGACAGCATTGCTGAATTGCCTGCAGTTTGGAGGGAAAAGGGTGCTGTGGGGCATGGCTGGGAGGACAGTGGAGCTTCCGATGACAGGTCAGCGCAGTTTTAGAAGTGAGAAAGTGAATGGCCAAGGGAGGGTAGTTCGTGATGAAGATTAGTTCATGTGAACGGTACTAAGTCCACCGGTCGATTAGTCGCGATGTCGTAAGACTAGCCATACCCGACTAATGTGTTGCAGCGCACTGCACTAAGAGCATCTGAGCTACTCTTAGTTGTGTTTGCTTAAAAAAGGCTAGTTATTGTAAACGGAATATCTGTTGCAAGTTGGACTATCTGTCAAATATATACATGGGTTGTATCAAGTGTCGAGCTCAGCAGTACTTGACGCTAAAATTTCGGTGCTTAATTTACCATACAGGCGGCGAAAATCAAAGCATCTGTTGAAGGTACTGTAACTGTATGCACGGTGCTCCACCACTCTGCAAAAGTCTGTAAAACGTGCGATAGTGTAGCTGTTCGGCCTGGATCGTACTAAACAACACAAAACTCGCAGCCCCGTTATTTCTTCATATAAAGAGAAGGCACGAAAGAAGGAGCACGGAGCGCCAAAAACACTTCAAAACCAGGTATTTTAGCTTCAATAGTGCGAGGCTCGCCTAGAGGCGTCTGAAACAGGCGTGCTTTGAGGAAGCGACTCAAGGCCTGATAAGCAATGCACAAACGCGTCGCCATTCTGATGTTTGATATGCACAGGCATCCGCCATCACACACACCAATATCCAACCAACGTTTCTCCCAATCTCCCACCTATCGGCAGACGAACGTACGTATCCGTCAAGAAAACACGAAGGGGTGAGCTTTAGGGACTTTTCATTATCAAATTTACTTAAAGCTGTTTACGCGATCTTGGTGAACTTAGAAAAAGCTCCCCGTGCCGCGAGAGGCCCGGATCATCAAGACATTTTCTTTAGTGCCGCGAGCGCGCGTGTTCTTGGATTCTTCGTGGGCGAATCTCTTGTACGTGCCATTGCTGTATGAATGGCCATGATTGTATCAGTTCCAACTCCGCTAAATTAGTGAGAATAAATACATAAGACGTACAAGAAGCAGAAAACGATAAACGTTGTCGTCGTCATGAAGACCATTACCCATTCAGGACTAGCGTAGAAGTACTTTGGTGGTACATGTCCCGTTGAATCCACGTGTGTCCTTCGTAGAGCACTCAAACCAGGCACAATAATCGCTGACAAGAAGTTGCCACAAAGTTGTTGAAGCGCAGCGACGGTGGCTTCACTGGTTGGAAACGAGCACTCGACTCCAAGTTCGAGTACAATAGGCTGCAATGGTCCTAGGACAGCTCCTAAAAACATCAAGCTTACAAGAGTAGCGTGGACGTTGTCCTTGGGCACCAGGCGAAATGACGAGATAGCAACGGTAGTCAATAAAAGACAGAGTTGTAGCGCTGTTTTGTGGTTCCTCTTCCTGTCCACGTACTGACTGATGACTTGACCACCGACCAAGGAGCTTATGATGAAGACCGAGCCGACCATTCCGATCTGAGCTTTGGAGAAATGAGCAACACTCAGAAACTTTCCCAAGAGTGCACACATGGCATTCAGGATGCACTCGGCCATTGAAAAGGCCACGACAGTGTGCAAGAAGCCGCTGTGAGTGAACGCGGTGGCCCATTGACCCCAGTCGTACTCGTCACGTAGCTGTACGTCGGATACGATTGATTGAGCCACACATGTCCTCGGGAATGACCGGAAAAAGAAGAGTGCAAAGATCCATGAAGCCGTTGCAATCACCGCCACGTAAAGATTCCAGTAAGGTACGTCGTTGCTGGAAAGCACGATAAATGGAGCGGAGAGATAAACCAACGCTGTGCCCAAAGCGTTCGCATTGACAGCGACACTAGTGGACGTAGCACGTAGCTGGGGAGGGAACCAATTGGCTGAGAGTACAGCGGGGGAGTTTACCATGAATGGCATCGCGACAGAAGCCAAAATCTGACCCAGTAGAGTCACGTAAGCTTCTCTCGCAGGCTCAAAAGCACACGCAGAGTAGCGCAACCCAGCACCGAGCGCTTGTAAGAAGCCGCCAAGCAACACACCATAGCGCAACCCCTTCTTGTCCATGATCCACGAGCCCACAAACGAACACGGAATGTACGAGATGAAGTAGACAGTGATCAGTTCTGTGGAATGAAGCTTAACAAAACACAGATATACGTCAGTCTGCTTGCTCAAAAGATGCAGCTATACAGCAAACGCACTCGCTCTTGCCACCGCTTCTCTACGATACTCGCTATTGGCGCGTACGAGTAGCAGATGCCCTGGTTTACGGCAGTGAGGATCGACAGTATTGCCAGCATAAGCCACTTCCTTTGGGCATATTGAGGCATTGTCGTGGACATTTTTAGCCGGTCCTTCTGTCCTAAGAAGGTGCCATAGTCTACTAGCACACGTTGTTAGGAACCACATCTTGCGTTTTCGCAGTTGTAACGAACCTCCGTTCTCCATGTCTTCATAGATAACAGTTGATCTCTTCTTGTCGCTGGTAGAGTCGCGTAGCTCCAGCATCTTGTCGCTGCTCGTCAGTAGAATACCTACTTCAGATCGCCTCTCTCTCTCTCCGGAACGATGTCGAGGCTAAATGAGGAACCTAGCAACGGCTGAGACTCGATACTTTTAGCGAGTTTCGAAACCATCGTTAATGTGCTCGAAATAGAGCGGCAAAATATATCACAACCCTTGGCGCTGTGTGTCGAGTGTACCATCGTTGTCAATGGTGCAGACACCAGAAACGTTCCACGCTGTAGCTCAGTTTTCGTTGTGTCAAGAAGTGACAAAAGAAGGAGCATCAACATATAGATCGGAGGGGTACCACAGTTCAATTCAAGGCTCACCTAGAGATGATCTGGAAACAGACGCTAATGTCCTGCTACCGATCAAAAGCGACCATGGCGAGAAGCGCTACTGTAGTTTCTCAAGACTGTGAATGTTCCCGCAGAATCTCCGCGTATCCACTGTGTCCTTTCGAATCATATCATTATTCGTGAGGCCAGTAGAGCATCTTTCTCGATAAGGGGTATCTAATAAAGCCTAGGCCCGCAATAGGATTGCGGCCTTCACGTCCAAGAGTTACGTACCATTCAGGGCGGCGATGTGTCGTGTCCGTGACTACCTGGGCATGGCAGTTTGTATTGTGTTCATCATGTATGATAGAATGAGTATGTGTAGCGCTGCATTCGACGTGATGGTCGTTATGATGTGTCAAGAAAATATGATAGATGCCGCCAACCAATTCGTAAGCAGTTTACTTATTCACCAGATTGACATCGGTGTCAGGATTTATAGCGATAATATTACCTGGTAGACTAGTTAATATTAACACCTTTGTGTCCGAACGGTACTCGCCTCAGGCATGGCGTAAGCTACGGCTTACAGAATCACTTGTATTTTGTAAAGGCCATGTGTTTCATGTCGGGATAGGTGTATAAATTGTCAGCAGGTTTTCTGGCCAATGTCGTAAGTGATACGGCATCGTGATAGAGCACTCGCCGCTAAATGTCGTAACAGGGTCTGTTGAACAGTGTTCAACGTGTTAAACAGACACCACTTGTAGTCAACAGATGGCTGGGGGGCTCACTATTTTGCAACTCCTTTCGGAAAACACGTAAAAAAAAGGTTCGTTGGCTCAACAATCTTTGCATTCAAACACACGAGCTCATCAAGTGAAACGTAGCCTACATGCTTACTCACCATCGCTGTCATTGTCAGCGTCGCTACCATCGCTTCCCTCCTCGCGGAGAAGCTGCAGCTCCCGCCGTGTCTTCTTGCGCTTTCCTGCATTCTTGCCAGGCCGGCGCAGCACGACGCGCTTCCCCAGGTTAGCCGGAATGTCCTGCCCGGCCCCGAAATCGTCGTGCCATATCTCGAAACAGGTCTTGGCGATGCCCTTGTACTCGCGGCGGATCTTGTTGCACAACCAGCATTTTGCGGCGTCAATAGAACAACACTCGCAGTAGTAAGTCGTCGCAAAAAAAATTCTCTTTTCGGTTCGCAGAAGCGCACAGACCTTGCACGACCGTTGGCGGCGCTTCTGAACGCCACCGACGGTGACCCAGTCTTCGGGCTGCTGGAGTCCGTGTGTCAGGCGGACTGGTGTTCGCCTACGTTTCTGGCTGGACTGAGGTGACGTAGCTTGGACCCCCGCAAAGTCCTCGGTTTTGAGTTGCAGGAGCTGGTTCTGAAGGACGCAAACCACTCGGAGCGTTTCATAGCGACTGCTCCCTTGCTTTTGGCCGCCTCTTTGTGGGTCAGGTAAGCGTTTACTAGGGCTAGGTCCCGAAACCCCAAGAACAACCCCTTGTAGTACTTAGTGAACCGCGTGGGCATTTGGAGTGCGTAACTCTGGAGACGGAGCTGACCATGGCGATCAACTCCGCTCATCCAGTTCTGGTAGTACCTCACAGACTGAGGGCACCCCACTTGAATCGCGCCCACCCGCTTTACCTTCCTCCCGATAGTGGTCAACGTCATGGCAGAGCCCGTGCAGAGGTAGTAGACTGGCTTCAGGTCCCACCAGAGGGATGAGGTCATGGTGGGGACCGCGACAGAGCGCGAGAGGACAAATGAGCCACGCGGGATGCTTGATGGGCGGGTCTTGCTCCCTGACGTGGTGCTCTTGTCGAGCCCCAAGCGGTTCGTCATGATTGTTCCAACCACATAAACGTTCATCTTCAGCAGCTCGACAGCGAGGATAATGGAGGAATAATATCTGTCAATGACGACAACATGCCAGTTGTGTCGCGAATGAGGAGTGAGCGCCGTCTTCAGATTCCGTAAGACGGCTGCTGCTCCAGTCTTGTAATCAATACCGGTATCACCCCCATCTACGTTCTTACACTTGCTCACATAAATTTCAAATCTACAACAGTTACGACATCAGAAATGTTAGCTTCCGCTCTAATCGGTAAGTTACGACATAGCAAAAAAGCTAAATAAAAATCCTGTGACAGTACGCGGTCTTTGCGTCACACAACATAAATAGCTTGGAGTCGTATCGATGCGGCTTGTCCTTCATAAACATTCGAGTGGTGTTGCGTTTCGACGTGGCAGGAAGCACGCCTTCATCAAATGAAAAGATGGCTGGTAGAGTCCACCCTGCCAAGAAGCGTTCTTGGATCATGTCCACGACAGGACGCAGTTTCCATAGTTTATCGCGACCGTGCTCAGCAGTGTTGTCCACGAAGTGAAGGTCACGTAGGATGTTTTGGCAGCGGTCACGCGTCATGTACCGCCCAAAGAGTCCAGCAGGTATGGCACCGTCCTCAACCATGGTCCAATGCGCACTGAAGCGCCTCTTCTGGGGACACAGCATGCGCGCCACTAGTAGCCCAACCACATGAAGAATCTCGTGATAACCGTACGCTTGCGTTGCTTTTAGCCGCCGAGCAATTTGTGCGGCGGTCTCACGATTGCGTCCAATCTGCCGCGCAGCCATCCTTTCTGCTCGCCTCTGCACTTGTTGCAAACCGTAAGTGTTGGTCTCCTTGGTGATCGACACCCACACTGGTTTAGGCACAAAGTAGAATAGAGTTAAAAGAGGAGACAGCCAGACATCAAGCAATTCACCGACAGGCCTTGACTCCTCCGCACCCAGCCCAAAGTACGAAGGAGTAACGATCTCGAACGCTGTCGAGGCTGTGGTCCACTGCATCGCCCGCAGAGCTCTGGTTCGTTCCTCGACAGCAGCTCTGCTCAGTGCATCATCGCCGCCAACATGAAGTGACGCAAGAAAAGCTTGATCAATCTCCGCCGCCTCACTGTCAGAGAGTTCATCCTCCTCCTCCTCGAATTCGGATCTCGAACGCTGTCGAGGCTGTGGTCCACTGCATCGCCCGCAGAGCTCTGGTTCGTTCCTCGACAGCAGCTCTGCTCAGTGCATCATCGCCGCCAACATGAAGTGACGCAAGAAAAGCTTGATCAATCTCCGCCGCCTCACTGTCAGAGAGTTCATCCTCCTCCTCCTCGAATTCGTTGCCTTCAGAGTCGCCGTCCTCATCGCAGATGCCAACATCATCGCTGTCATCAGAGCTGAAGTCCTCGTACTGAGTGCTACTCTCTCCGTCCTGCAACACATTGACGACAGCGCGGGGTTTCAGCGGGATTCGAGCTCGCGGTGGGGGGACAGTGGGAGAAGTGACAGCACGTTCGTCCTCCCCCTCACTCTCCAGCCCCGATGCGTCCGACAGCAGGCGCAAGCTGCCTGCCGCGTCTCGCTGCTCCTCGTCATCTTCCTGGTCTGCCAGGGAGAGGTTAAATGCTCTCGCTACGGCGGTTTGCGAGAGTTCAGACTCTGAGTCATCGGAGGCGTCAAACAACTGCTCGATGGAGTTCTGCGACAACAGAACACTAGTGTCAATCTGAGATGGTCTAATGGGGGCGTCGTCACCGCCATCTTCGCCGCCCTCCACTCCAACATGCTTCTCGCCTCCGCCCTCATCTTCTACATTCTCGATTTAGCCATCAGTTACTGCATCTGCCGAATCCTCCTCGTCCTCGACCAGCAAGCCCGACTGGAAGGCGTGCTCCACCACAGCGCTCTCTCCTACCAACACATTCGCGCCCTTTGGACTGCTATACGTCCACTCAGTCTGAATACCGGTTGGCCGCTTGGACGTCCACCCCGCCGCCGCGAGCTGTCGCCACAAGTGTCCGAAGTCAACGTCATGTGCAGCCGCGACGGGGGCGGCGGGTTTTTCGCGGCGACTGGACCGCATTCCTGCCAGCCAGCAAATTCTCTGATGAGTGGTCTGGACCAGACTGGATCCCGTCATCCACCTGACCCGGTTATGTGAACTTGTCGCAGAGACCTCTCGCAGCTTATACATGTATGTAGCGGATGCTGCGAAAACACTTGATTAAAGTATGTGAAAATCATTTCTGAGCCACTTTCTAATATAAATTGCGCTATGTCGTCAGTTACGACATAAAAAAACTAATGGCGTATCTTACGACGTTCGGAGCCAAGGTGCTAAGAATATCACCTAATATATTTTTCTTGGACGAAATGATATTATTAAATATCAGCTTTCAAATGTTAAAACAATATTATATTTCTTAAAGATTTCGTAATCGGTTATAATCCACCAATCATATATCGTTATAGTTCGACTAGCTAAGCGATTACTAATCAACAGAGAGGGACTCGCCATTGTTACTCATTACATGTACATGTATTGTGGATTTCATGTTTTTTGCTGCCCCTGTTAGCTACTTATTTCGGACGAGCCCATATGACTAATTTGGATCTCATCTCAGGATAGGCTTCCTCATTTTTGACCTTACACCCCGTTTTAGTCTCACCATTAACTATAAAACCGCAAAACCGGAGCCAGTGAGAGAACCCCAGAGAGGCGAGGGGGCTAAGTGGCGTTGCCGGCAGCGTGAGGCGAACCCAGTACCAGTACGAAAGTGGACATGTCTTGCTGTATGCAGATAGGTGCAATGCCATAGTAGTGACTGACCACGCTATGATGTGCATTCCTGCAGCAAGGTGCTCGTAGCAAACAAGGATGGTGGAAGAAACTGCTTATAAGGAGACCACTCATGCCGATAGAGTGATGAAGAGGGTGCAGATGAAAGAACGTCACGTGTAGCGCGGGCAAATAGACGTACGAGCTCTCATAAAATTGGTGATCGAGAACATCAGGTGGGAGGAGTGTATTCCGTCTGATAGAGTCCTATACTTATGGCGTGTATGTATACGGTCGTGTATGCAGGCGGAAACTTAGCTAGATTTTGCAGCTGAGGTGTACACAGTTGTTGGGAGAGTCCACACAAACACATGCGAATGGTACGGAAGAGATGCGTGTGATAATGATAATTTGGCAATTGTATAGTCTCTCCCGTTTACATTTGTGCATATCTTCCTGTTTGTTACTATACTCTAGGGTCCCATTATCTGATCTGCGTCGGCGAGCACCAACTATCATCACTCGAATTTCATTGTTGTTTGGTGATGCGAACTGAACCGTCAAGTCAAGTCGCGTCAGATCTGTCGGTCCAAGGCGACTCAGGGGCGAGCACGATACAGCCTTGGCCCGTGGAGGCTATACGTTTAGCGGTAGATGGCTCACGTCTACTACCACATCGTGCGGAGGCAGTGCTTGTAGTTCGTGTCGGTGAACCTCATGGGCGAGCTCGAGGCGGATGGCGCAAGGACATTCGTTTCGACATTCAGGAGGGTTATGCAGTCTTTAAGGAAAAATGTTTATCGAAGTTCAACGAGGTTTTGAGTACTCCAAAAGCAGTTAAGCGGCCGATTCAGCTTCCAGAAAACGTGGGGATTTATTTGAAACGAGCTCGCAATGACTCACAAGAAAAATATGTCTTGCTCACCCCTGATAATTTTACGGCAACATTACACCATCGATGGAAACTGCTGACACCTGGGGACTTGGCACGCATTGGTGACTTTCGGGTTGAGGCATTTCTATACGTGCAGCGAGCGACCCCACCCGAGCAGTTCCACCGCGCAGCTGCACAGAGAATACAAAATGCAAGGGTCCAAAGAATGGCATACGAAGCTACCAACTCTATTGCGTTTGGTGCAATCACAGCTCATCATCTTGACGTTATACATGCTCGACGGCCTGATGGCACAGCATTTGAAATTCCTTCGGATAATACGACATCTCAAGCCATTGCATTAGACCAGACGCGTGAAGCAATGCACCGTGACGACGATGCCTCTGAATCCACAAGGCAAACTGGTGTCGTGACACTGAAATTCAATGGATGCCTGTGGAGGTGGACGTCATTTCATTAAGACGTGCAATTGGGCTACCAGATCATGACATATTCCTACAGGGTATGTTTCACCAGTTTAACCCAACACCTGTAACCAACCCAACCATGGTAGATGTCAGAAGATGAAGAAATGCAAAATACATAGGCGCAATTTGGTTAAAAGACATTAAATCCCAGAATAATTTCGTACTCAACACACTTCGGCATTCTCACTTGTCTGCATCAGATCATGAAATACTTGTTCCCTGAGCCCATTGCAAAGATATCCACAGTGCTGAAAGGCTCCAAAGCAGCCACTCTCACTACGTCGAGTACATGCACGTATAGCTACATCTAAGACCTGCTTTGGATGCAGTGGAAACACCAAATTGGCGTACTTTTGTAGCCAACGCTTTAGCTGGCCAAAGCATTGCTCAATGGGGTTCAATTGTGGACAATATGGAGGTAAGAATAATAATCGTGCGCCACATTGATGAATCGCCGCTTGTAACTCCGGGTAGCAATGAATTTTTGCATTATCCATTATCACGATAGAACGAGGAAGTGGCCATGGGTTAAGCTTCGGTACCACTCGACGGAGAAAAGCTTCGTGAAACTTTTCGCGGGTGAATGTGCCTTCGGTCCATTTCCACCCAAAAAAAACCGTGAACATTGAGAGCGGCTAGCACGGATAGACGTTTGCCACGTCGAAACGGCTGTTTGACTACGGCCTTCGTATTTCGTTTTGACCATCCATATCGACGATAAGCATGACGGCCGTCTTTCGCCGTTTCATCGAGAAAAACCAACTGCTCAGCGAAAGAGTAAAGTGACAGTAATTTATGACGGTATACACTGATTTCAGCAGGAACAGCTTCGCGTGCCGCCTTTTCTAGCACTTTACGACTCAAATTAAGATCGAAATTTAGTGCACGACACAACGTTGACAGCGATACGTTGCTAAGTGTAGGAAAATGCTTGATAATATTTTCGCGCAGCAACTCGATGTAGAACGTTGGGTGAACTCGAACATATTTTTCCACTGCCTGTAGATCTTCTGATGGCCAGCGCATTTGTTGTTGACGCTCACAGTTCTCGTTGACAACTCCACCTTTTAAAAACTGCGCATACCATCGGCGGAGCGTTCTCTCCTTTGGTCCCAGAAGCTCAGCAACGTGTTCAATAGGAACACCGTAGACGTGAATCAGTACCACACTTCTCCAACGAAAGTCATCGGAGTAGGTCATGGCAGTTTAGGCTGTATTTGACAAGTAATGCTGTCAGTCCGTCGATTTTGGCTACTGAACGTCCATGGAAAGCCCGCTCACCACTCATATTAGCCGCTGAATGTCGGCATAACGGATTGAGTTCTCCTAAACAGCACCAGTTTACATTAACCCTAACTGCATTTCAGGTCAGATGTCTACCCATTTCTGACCCCGTGCTGAAATCGGACCCTCGATTTACTACCTGAATATATTAGTTCTAAAGTACTTTCTAGCGAGAGTACAGTACCGGTATGGTCGGCTAGTCTTACGACATCGCGACTAATCGACCGGCGGACTTAGTACCGTTCACATGGACTAATCTTCACCATGAACTACCCTCCCTTGGCCATTCACTTTCTCACTTCTAAAACTGCGCTGACCTGTCATCGAAAGCTCCACTTCCCTCCCAGTTATGCCCCACAGCACTCTTTTCCCCCCAAACAGCAGGCAATTCAGCAATGCTGTCATCGGCTCTGTCGCTCAACGAAAAGTACATGGGTATAGTACACCACCCTTGCGAACAGAACGGAAGGTTGCCGAGCCCCATCCGACCTTCACCTTTTCGAGATCTGGATGGCCTGCGGACGAAGACGCTGTTCTCTATGAAACACGTCTACCCAGTATCACCGGTCACAAACGCCTTCTCTCTCATACTCTGAGCGGTGATACATCCCAGTCCGAGGTACAAAAGACGAAAGCAGCTTCGGCCTATGACGATCTAAATACCAGATACACAGCCGAGATCGAGCACCGACGTCAGCGGAATCGAATGCACCAGGCACGTTACAAGATTCGGCAGCGTAAACTCGTGGAAGACCTTCAGGACAATGTTCAGAAACTCAAAGAAGAAGTGATTCCAGAGCTGGAGCTGCAGCATCGATTGTTGTCGTACGAGCTCGCCTCGAATACTTCCATCTGGTCCATTGCTGCTGAGTACTTCCGTCTCTTTCGACACGGCATCAGTGACCCGGCTCTAAAGAGTCCTTTCTCGTTATCCGACACTACCCCGATGCTCACCCAGACCAAAACTTAGCTGAATTTCCTCAGGGCGGTAGTGGCACATGACGTCTCTGATGGTGTGGTCTTTGGTTTCAAAGCCCTGATAGAAACGATTGTCTTTCAATCTCGGTGCTACGAAAAAGTCGACCTGCAACCGCTGCACATGTGCGATAGACCTGGAGACTCCCTTATCGTCAAAACTGTGTGTGAGCTCACTATTACAGAGGGAATGTTGCGTCATGGGTTCCCAAACTTGATCAGTAACGGGAAACGGTCCAAAACTGCGGACAAGTTGCTTTGTTACCCACGGGTCGATGCATTTTGTAAGGGATGAGACAAGCGGTCGAATTACGCGTCTTCAGTGGCAGGCAGACCTATTGACTCCGCTGTTGCGGCTACTAGGAAGTCTAGAGGTGGTGTCTCGAGTTTTCAATGATGCAAGCCTCTCTCCTGAAGGGTTGGTGAAGTCAAAGAGTACTGTGTAGGTACATGTATTAGTGCGTGCAGCTAGTGAAGTCAAGTAGGTTCTTGAACAATGATTAGCCATCAAAGTCTATCATTGTACTAAGACGTGAAGACCATCTGGTTATTAGATAATACTATTGTTCATCATCGCCGCTCCAGTTGAGTTCTAGCTGAGCGAGCGAGAAGCTTATATAGTGCACCTCATTTTAGTACCCTCGTTTGGTTTGTCGAGTTTCATGTTCTTGAACACTTTATCAGCAGGTAGTCCCTTGTCTAGCCATTGCTGAAGCTTGTCTTGAGTCACCGAGGAAGACTTGAAAAACGCCTTAAGTTTTTCTATGACGGGCGCCCTCTCCTCGCCAGCAAACCCACCACTATTCTTCTGTAAGAGCTTCGTGCCTGAACTCGAGTTCAGAGTATCGATATCAATCCTGTTGGGAACATGTCCTCGTGGATCTCTTGCGACTGATGCGTCGACAGATAAACTGGCGATGATGAAAGCTACGGCTGTCAGAAAGAAGAAATGCATCGGGATGCAAACTGAAAATGAAAGTGTTTACGTGAAGCTTGGGAGAAATGTGCATTGGTCTTTTGTTGCGATTTCACAGACTCTTCAACGCTGTACAATGAAATGAATACCTCTTGCACAGCGACGATCAGAATGTAACTGCTGCCAAACTAACTGCCCACAAAGACCAATAAACAAGGATGGGAGGAGCGTGGCATATACTCAGGCTATTAGTAAATCAGGTGGACGATTCAACGCAATCAAACAATTTCTTACAAACAGTAGGAAAACAATATTTTGGCGAAATCTTGCTGGTACTATTTTCATCTACTAATATACCAGAGCTGAATATAGAAAGCCGCCGTGATACCCATTGTGACCAATCAGATTGTAAGATAGTTCGGGAAAACGCTGTGAGTTTAGTACGGAAGCGTGTCGGTGCTTTTTTAATACATGTAGAAATGTCCTGATCAGGTCTAGGGCTAGATGAGCCAGGATTTATGAGGGTGATTTCAATCCAGTTTGATTCTTGCAGGCTCAAGCCGAAGCTTTATTAATAATAGACCAAAGCGAGGAGACCTACCATGGATTCGTACGTATAGCTTGGAAATTCATTTTGTTTGGGCCATATGTAAAGGACGGGGAGCTGCAAGTGGTACATGTATTAATACCTCCTCCACGTTTTGGCGCGGCAAGGACAAATGTGTACAGTATATCGAAATTGTTCATATAATATAGTGGAGACTCCAATCCTTAGAAGGATTTCTCCCTGGAATATTCAGCATGGCCTTGAGACGGTTATTATAAGTTCTTGCTTCTCGTTGCTCTGGCTCTGCGCTGTCAGTCTGTGTTGGTATGCTGTAGCTGGTCTCACCACTGATGTCGTCTGAAAAGAGATTCGTGGTAATACCTGGGCATCCAAAAAGGACAACGCCGTCTCCAGTGCCTCCAGCTCCTCACGTTCATTTCCAACCGTGCAAATTCGAGCCGATAGTGAGATGAGTAGAGGGATCAGACTAATCATGGAGTAGTATGGGGAGACGATAATCACAGAACCCCCAAACTTATTCACAGATCGCCCTTATTGAACTCAAGCTATTTATGAAGACTGCAAAACTTTAGATCAACTGGATAGATATCGAAATGCAGGCACAGACGGGATTCCCGTTACCCAGGAACAATCAACAGTACCGAAAGTGAGGTATCACCCCGATTTTAAACGTGGCCTTGATATCTTTCACCGATTATCACATTGGCGTTAACCCCTCTAGCCCCGCGATTTAGGGCAAAAGTTACCCTGTATTATACAGGATAGTGTTTTATCTTGATTTTACTATTTGCGGAGTTTTGCGAAGCTCACAATCCTTACTCCTTATCTACCCTGTTCCGTACAGGTTATTAGTCAATGTACGGGATCGTGTACTCTGTATTAACCAGGATTAACACAATGAAGATGTAGAGAAAAATTCCAGAATTCTACAAATGCATTCACTCAAACGGACTACAATCATTCCTAGTGTTACGGGGTTGACACTTCATACAGCTTTGTATTAGATGCACGCAGTTTCAATACTGCCTACGTCTCCTGCACTAACCTCGATTTCTGCCTCCCTTGAAGATTCGTTGGTCGAGCTTTCTTCTTCATCGCTGTCATCAATATTTTCTCCAGTGCGGCGCGAGCTTGAGCCGCTTGGTAAGCGCATGCGAATTGTCTTCAATCCAGGGGGTATACGAGCACCAGCGCCCCAAAGGTTGTGCCAAATCTGGCTGCAAGTTGCTGAGTTTATTGATCCCGACGGGTCGTGCTGGCGAACCTTTTGGCATAGGTAAATCTTTCCTCGTGCCCCCGACTGGCGATTCATCCTTTCCTCTGAGCACTCAACGCAGTAAAAGGTAGTCTCCCACGGTGGCTTTGCCGGGCGAAGTAATGAACACACTTTGCATCCGTACTGACGTCTTTTGCTCGATTCTTTTCCGGTTTTTGCTCTTGTCGTGCGAAAAATATCCACTTGGCGAGGTGTGTGATGAGCCGGGAGTGTGTAGCGAGGGTGTGTCGACGGCACAACGCTTGTATCAACCAAAGCTTCGACAGATAGGTCTCCTTCGAAGTCGGCAGCTCCCACGTTCAGCAATGCGACTTGCATAGATCTCATGAATTCTGCGTGCGTGGGTGGAGCACGACCTGGGTTCAATCTTGCTTCGACGCGGCGATGGATGATGAAGGCATTGACTAACGCCATGTCAATGAGTCCGAGAAAGATAGTATGATAGTACTTCTTCATTTTCATCGCTCCCTGTAGTGTACAGGATAACAATTGTCAATATGAAATAAAGTAGTGTAGGATACAAATGGAAGTACCTGTATTGAATATCGCTGGAGCCGCAACTGATCATGTATACCTGCGCCTCCCATGCCTTCTTGGTAGTCCTTGACGAGCTGGGGTGCTGGGACGTCAACAGTGTCAGCGCCTGCACGTCTTACCAAACTTACCACACCAGTACCGCAGCCCGTGGCAATGAAGTGAACGGGACGGTTGTCCATCCACGAAACGGCCACCATGCTTGGCTCTACCTTTGACTGTGCAATTCGATACAGCCCTCTCTTCATCTTCTTTGGCCTCTTGGCTTGCTTGTATGGAATCGTGTTGCAATATCCGCGCCGGTTCGTTTGAATGGTGCCCACGTGATAAAGACCCCGTTGTAGGAGAATCGAAGACAGCAGCACGCTCGAGGAGAACCGATCCGTAATGACGAGTCGTTTTTTCGGCAGTCCGTCGAGCACATCATCAAGGTTGCGAATTACCGCGTTTGGTCCCTGGTTCAGATCAGCACTATCACTCGTCGCCGCCCTTGATAGATTTCAGCCCTGCACAGGATAACAATCACAACTTGTTAGACGCTAACCTGTAGAATATATAGATTCTCTTTGACATACCTGTAGCAGTAACCCGTTGCAGCGTCGCACGTCAAGTAGCACTTGGTATCCCATGGATGGGGCTTGGCACGAAGGTATTGCCGCATGGGGTTATACTTGCTCTTCATGGGTATCATACCTTCATCAAATGCAATGCGCTGTCCAACACTCATGCCTAACTTGAATGTCTTATTGATTGTATCGGCAATGGGCTTGATCTTCCAAGTCTTGTCTTGCTTTGCAGAGGCGTCGTTGTTGTTGCTAAAGTGCATGAACCGCACAATTTCTTCGAAGCGTTTTCTTGACATGAAACGTCCGAAGGTGCCTTTTGGTACCGCGCCCTGTGTATCGACTGCCCAGTGTTTTCCTAGCTTCTCGCGATGCGGGCATAATGTTCTTGCACATAGTAGACCAATGAAATGCACCAGTTCATGCGGCTGGGTAGGCTTGAATGCGTCTAGCTCCTTCTTCACTTGTTGCAGAGTCTTCATTTTGTAGTCGGGGCGTCTCTCCTTCATGCGGCGCTGGCGAATCATGATCGATTTAATAGCTTTAGACCGGAGCTGGCGCTGATAGCGATTGGACTCCTTTGCTATGGATATCCACATCTCCTTGGGGAGAAAGAGGAAGAAGAGTCCTTTCCATATTACACCCGAGTGCTTGCGCGATCTCAGTTGGAGCTGCTGTGCAGTTGGTCAGACTTGCCGAAGGCAAATCGAGAGAGCTGCCTGCATTCAGCACACAGTTTTCAAAGTTAGCGGATCACACAAAGAGTTTGATGAATGCAAACCTGTACCGTACAGGATTATACTAACTTTCGGCTTCGAAGTATGTTGTCCAGCCCGTCTTCGCATGCTCGCTCAGGTCCTCCTTGCTCATTCTGTCAAAGGGCGTACCCACCGACAAATCCACCGCATCTTCTTCATCACTTGTTTCCTCGGGATCACTAGCATCACTTGCAGAACTCTCGCTGGCCGCCTCCGCGTCAGAATAGTCGCCATCCTCCAATACAAAGTCGTCTTCGTCTCCAGACTCCATTCTGTCGTCACCCGTCGATAAATCCACCAGATTTGTCGCTGCGGCTACATGAGTCGGTCTCGGTGGCGTCGATGACGTTGGTTCAATAGTTGGAGCGGTGGACTTCCTGGCTCGTTTTTTTGTAGGTGCTGGTGATTGCTTGGCCTGAGCCTTAGCCGGTGTCGTGGATGGGGTCGTGGCCGGTGACTTGGGCGGCGTCACTGATGGAGTTTTGGTTGGAGCCTTGGGCGGCGGCGTGGATGGGGTCTTGTCAGGTGACTTGGGCGGCGCCTGGCCTGAAACCGTCGTAGACGATTTGCACGACGTCTTAGCTGGGGCTTTGCGTGGAGGTTTGGCTGTGCCTTCGCCGGAGACTTGGTCTGAGCCTCCGCTGGTTTGGCCCGGGAGGTTGACTGAGCCTTGGTCGGAGGTTTTGTAGTTGATGCAGCAGGTTCCATGTTCAGCTGCTTCTCAACAGGCGCCGATGCAGATGCGGATCGCTTGGCAGGAGGAACCTCATCATACAAAACTTTTGAATATTAGCCACTAGATTGTAGGTCAGTACCATCCAATCGACATACATTCCACGGGTAAATGCTTCCATACTTCATCTGGCCCATCGAAGTAGTCGACAAGATGCGTAGCGTTTGGTCTTCTTGACCAGCCTTCTGGCGTGAAGTATCGGTTTTGGCTGGATAGCCCTTTAGGTCGCTTGAATTGCCATCCTAACCTTTTTAGCTTCGTCCAGAGCTTGCCCCAAGTTATTGGCCGGATGTGCTTCCGCTTTGGCATGAGACCGTTCTTGCTGATGTCCGTCCGATTCGCAAATGGCGCGAAATTTGCGCGCCGCTCGCTCTTCCTTAATCTCGAAAAAGTCGTAGCCACGAATTATTGCCCCGAGGTTAGCAACGTGATTCTAAAACTTTATAATTCAGTGGACACTTGAAGTTTGTATGGAAACACTTACTTTTTGTAATGAGGAAAATGGCCTTTTTGTTATCCTGTAGTATACAGGATACGAAAATTTATATCCTGTAGAATACAGGCGGGGTGAATTGACCCCCGACTGAGCTTAACCCGCGCGAGTAAA